TGGGCCACCGGATCGCGAGGGCCCCCTCGGCGAACTCCCTCCAAGATGATGGAGGCGAAGACGTCGGCCCCAAGGAGGACATCGATTCGCTCGGCGCCCCCGAACTCCGGATCCGCGAGCTCCAGGCCTCGTAGGTGAGGCCACTCCCGATCGGTCACATCAAGTCGACCGGCGTAGACGGTAAGCCGAGGAAGCACGAGCGCGGACGCGTTCACTACGACCCCCCCGGAGTGCGAGCTGAACGACAGCGCGACGCGGCCCCTAGCTACGCAAGTCTTTTGTCCGCCGACCCCGTACACGGCCACCGAGGCAAGAGCACGCGGCAAGTGAAGTCGCTGAGTGAGGCGTTCGGAAATCAGAGACGTTTCCGAGCCCTGATCGACGAGAGCGCGCGCGAAGCACCACCTACCTTGTGGGCCCTCGACGCGGATGCGAGCGGTCGCGAGGAGGACTGCAGCCTGCTTGTCCGACACTCCCCGCGCCACGTGCGAGGTTTTAGCGACCTCGTTCTCGCGACACGCGTCGTGAAGCGACGAGTGGTGACGTTGACCGCACGCGGAACAGTCCTTCTTCGAGATACAGTCACCCACCTTGTGACGGCCGAGGCAATTGAGGCACAGACCGCTGCTAGTGACGTGCTGCTTCCGCTCCACAGCCGTCTTCTTCCGGTAGTCCTCGCACAGCATGACGAAGTGGTCCCCCTGACACAGAGAGCAACGGCCCGGCTTCCCGCCGGACTTGTCTTCCCGCTTGCCGACGTGGTGAGAGCGGGTAGGCTTCGATGTCGAACTCCTCGGTTTTCCGACCGAGCTATCCGCTTTAGCAGGGAGCATCGACTCCAGGGCGTGAAGTCTCCGATCCAGGAACGTCTCCAGCTCGGTAATCGACGGAGGCTCCGTGGTCTCGCAGATGGAGGTCTCCCAGTCTCGTCGCGAGCGGGGGTCGAGCAGATCGACGGCCAGGTAAACGAAGAGGTCCTCGCTGCTGGAAACTGGTCGACCGATGCTGTCCAAGGAATTGCGCGTCGCTTTCAGGCAGTGGAACACCTTTCGCAGCTCCGCGGCCGACTCGCTCTTCATCTTCGACAATGAGACGAAGCTGGCCAAATAAGCGCGCACCAACAAGCGCTTATTCTCATAGTAGTCGCTCAGCGTTTTCCACGCGTGTTCGTAATTTTCACCCGTGGTCGTCAAGTTTCGGATTAGTAGCTCCGACTCACCCTTCAGGCAGGTTCGCAGGTAGTGAAACTTCTCAACTGGGGGCGAGGATTTGTCCTGGCCGATTATTGATTGAAAGAGGTCACGGAAGGCTGGCCAATCCTCGTACTTGCCCGAGAAGCAGGGCAGTTGTATGCGAGGCAATGTGGTACGAACGTTGCCTCCGAGATTACCTTCGTCGCAGACGCAGGACGGGCAGCAGCGTAGGATCTTATAAGATCAAGAAACGTACCCTTCTGCTGGAGGTACGCGTCCTCCGCCAACGAGTAGGTGCCCAATTTAATGTAGTCGCTTTCGGCTATCGACACAGGAGGTGCCAGGAGTATCTGGTCGTGGTTGGCCTCGAACTTGACCCAATGCGACTCAAGGGCCTGAAGTCGGGCCTCCACAGTACCCAAAGTGATCTTGGCGGCGCCGGTCTTCTTCAGGTTTTCGATAGACCGGGATATTCGGCCATACAGCTCGGCCTGAGCGCGCATCAAGCTCTCCACTTGACTCATTGTGCGGCTTCTTGGCGGTCACTCTCCGGTAAGCACAGAGGAAGCACACCAGAACTATCGCACTGACACTCCGAGATCAAAAAATCCGGCTCGAAGGACCAACTTTAA